ACATATTTCATAGCATACCCATGTTTCAAATCAATATTTCCAATTCATTTAATTACTAAATTGCATCAACGGTATTTTACATTTGGTCGAATTATCTTCTGGCTGCCTAAAAAAATTAAAAGAGAAAAACTACTTTTTGATCTTTTGATATTCTATATAGCATATTTTCCAACATCAACACAATTCACAGCCACTATTACTTCCACAATCACAATACAATCCGCTATCGATCAAATTAGACCATCTTGTATGATATAATTGAAAATCTCTGACATCATGTGGCATTTTAATATCAATGGACAAAATATTGCACATGAACATTTTTTTTTTTAATTTCCAGTACAATAAAAAAGCTAAAACCTAAAAAATTAAATTAATACAGTTTGTGAATAGAAAACATCAATTAAGTCGTGTTCCAGTCACATCCCTCTCGCTACAGCAAAGGTTTGGTTTACTTAAAACACACAAGACGAGCAAATTAGAGGCAATGAAATTAAATCTCTAACTTTTATTAAAAGAAACATTAATGGTATTGTCGGAAAATGTCGGATAACTCTCAATTTTATTAATAAGGGAATAGAAAAAAAAAATACAAACAAGAACTCTTCACAAGACTTGGTCTAATGTATAACAAGAGCTCCCACCTCACCCTTTTCAACTTGGTCTAATGTATAATTCTTCTCTCTTAAAAACTATTTTATTGAATTAAAACAATTCGATAAAGTGAATTATGTTCTTGAAACCGATGAGTTAAATTTGAAGTCTGCCAATGGCACGTTATCATCACGAAAGCCTAGTTTTGAACCAAAATGGTAACAAAAATAATATACCTAGAACTGAAATTGCAATTATTTATTTTAGGTTCAGTCAACAGATTATATATATCAGATTTTAGACTCACATTTTTCATTTATGGCATATTCTATAACAATATCTCTGACATTAATTACTTGTTACTCCCTCAATGAGAAATAATTAAAATGTTTGACTTTTTAAGATTCTAATATATGGTGACAAATTAATAATGCACCATCTTTTTATGCAAAGCAACTCGTTATAAGTATCCAAATTATACATTTCAATATTTTCATAGCAAAAAAATCATCAAACCAAGGAGCCATGAAAGCGTTCTTCTCGTTACTCACTCAAGTCTGCCTTATTCAAGCAATAATCATCCAAGTTCAATGTGGTATACTAGAGAAGTATGTGGTTTATATCAATAATGGCATCCCAAACAGTCCTCTTCCCGTCAAAATTCAATGCTATTCCGAAGATGATAATTTAGGAGAGCACATTTTGTATTACAAAGGTAACGATTTCCATTTCTATTTCACGTTTAACTTTTGGGGTACAACAAAGTTCTGGTGTGATACTTGGTGGAATGAGCATTATAAACAGGTTTTTGTATTTAATGCTGATCTCGCCGTTCACCATTGCGGTACGAGTACAAGACATACCAATACGTGTTATTGGTTAATCAAAGAAGATGGATTTTACCTAGCTAATAAGATCCCGGGTTCACCTGATGATTTGCAACGTATTTGGGAATGGGACAAATGATGTACAAGTATTTTTACCTTTGGCATATTATGTCATGAGAAATTCGTATAATTTTCGTTTGCTTTTATTTTTTTTAATTTTTTTTTAATGTTCGAGTAACAGTTTACTTTTGCTAAAATCGAAAAGTAAAGAACAGAAATAACAATCCCGTTTTTTTTTTTTTTGGCAATCAAATAGATTAAAGTGATCTTCTGGAGTACAAGCACGCATTTTATTTTAGGAGAAAAAGGATAATAATTATATATGTTGGGGATGAGAATTCTGGCTAGCTAGCTGAAAAGCTTTATTTATTTATTTTGCATTTGATAAATTTGGTACCGAAAGCTTAAGAAAAACTATAGGTTAGTTCTTCCATTGAAAGAGAAGTTGGCAACATACCATCGAAAGCTTCATTGATAATTCTAGTTGAAAGATTTTCAACTGGAGTGTTTTTTTTTATTTTTTATAATACTTAATAAGAAGTCAAAAAATAAATCAAAAAATAAAACAAAACCGTTGAGAGAAATTTTAACCTTATGAGGAGAGGAAAAAGATTTGGTAATGAATGAATAAAAATTTGCTCCCATTATCATTAGTACCATTATACTGACTTGGTAATCTTTCTCTTCTAAGTGATTGTCCCGTTTAAATTTTCAAATTTTAGCTTGATTAATTAAACAGGATCGTGATTTCTTTTCCTTGCGGCCATATTGGAAATGACGTAAAGATCATTCACTCTACACGACGGAAAGCGTGTTTAACTTAGCTTGTGATTGGATTGAGACCTTAATAATGTCATCGTTCAAGTGAAAAATTACAGGACACTTCTGTAACACTGTTACTTTTGTATAGGGCTTTTATGTGGACAGCTCTAAAACAATGAAATTCAAGAATTCCTATGCCAATTACAGGAATGTATATGATGATTGATGAGTACTAAATGTATGTACATCAACTTATCTTTACAATACAGAATCATCCACAAAATGCCGAAAAATCAAATAATTTGACTATACATGGATGCATTATGAATTCTGAATATTGTAGTAACATCATCCAAAATCCAAACTTTGGAAACAGAAAAATATCAATCTACCAACATCAGAAGGAACCCCAAAACCCCTAAATCTTTTACAGATTCTCTGTATGCTTTTTTTCAGAAGATCGAACCCACATCCATATATATATATATATAGAGGAGCGACTATGGTCCAGTTGACTAAATGGTTCAGTCAATAATTACAGCCGTTAGATGAAATAAATCATCTATCATCGTAAGATCAGATGGGGTGCATCATAAAAGAAACAAGACCTAGCCACATAGGATAAATTCTCATGAATTGTGCCTAGTATTTTTGTCCCGAAATTTCATCAACGCCTAGATTCCTATCACAAACAAATAACATATATATTTGTTCGTCAACTCTAATCTTCTTCTTAAAAAGCCGACTTAATCCTATAAAATTCGTAACTGCTTTTTTCATGAGAGATACGTATTTAAGTTCCATCCCGAGTATTTGAGTCAGCCATTGTGTGATTGTGTCTCCGAACAATTGGCTAAAGTGGAATTTTTTTCAGTTCGCCTGGTGTAGGTTATATTTTTCTGAATTTGGGATCACTATTAATATCAAAATTTTGAATTTTAATGTAAATTAGAATTTGGTTGGGCATGTATCATGTATGACTGTGCTAAGAAAATTTAAAGACTTTTAGATCATAGTATAAGAAAACTTATTTGATTAAACAAAATTCTTCACTGAGGCATTCAGATTCCGGCAAAGTATTAATTATTTTCGATCCTCATATCTTCTTGTTCTTCTTTGTCTTTCAATTATCAAGTATCATTCAATTTTCTTAAGAATTACCAGCTTCTTCTTACTTAATCGGGGTTTCGACTGCAACTGCGACTTGTCTTACGCATAAATCTCTTATTTGTGTATTCTCCGGAGATCGAGTTTAACTCTGAATCAAACTAACACGATCGAACTCGGTTAAACAACTTTACACCCATATCAACCCAAAACAAATCGACCTGAATGCTTACATATTGAAAATCTATGTTGTGCGATGAGTAATAATGTGTAAATTGAGAGGGAGAAAACATATGAATCCTTTTTGTTATAAATAAATATTTAGTTAATTTGTTTCTTGTTCAATTTTTTGCTAAGAAGAACGTAACTAGAAATTCTTTTTGCAACCCTAACTTAACTGGATTAACTAAGTAATATTGTTAGAGCAGAAGCTGCAATGTATGAACAAAATAATGTCCATTGGGAGCTCTAGTAGGAAGCATCATAATTTGTAGTCGACGATGAAGACTAGTAATGATCTAAGTGGGTTTGTATTGCTGTACGAAAGTTGCAACATTGGAGAAGAAGGCGATGTGACGATGGTTTTGCTGAGAGATTTACCGAAAAGATTTCTTTCAATTTGAATTGTGGGTGTGCTTTTCTTTCAATTTAAAAAGAGTTTTTTCTGTGAGCAATCAGTTTTGGCTTATTTGTCAAATAACAATTTGATGAGATGGAAAAGTTTCAACTTCGACTGCAACAACTTCAGGATGTATTGTCCAAACAAGAGAGAGGAACGCGCATTAGATGTTTCACTAAGGGAATGTGAGAAATTAGTTTCACAAAATCAAAAAGAAAACAAGGAAAAAAGTCAGCCGTAATTTCGATAAGACTTCTGAAACAACAAAAATTTTGCCAAAGAAACAAGTGCCAAGTGCGAACAGCGCCTGGAGTTCGTCGTAAATTTCGAATGGAGATGATGAGTACAACAATGAAAGTGATGGTGAAATGCCTACTTTTTTTTTAAGGTTCCCACTTCATGAAAGTTAAAAGCAAAATTTATTTGTTAAAGAAAATGTTATGGAATGAATCAGATTGATTTCTGTTACTCTACCTTTTCATAGTTAATTTAATTTTGTCTAGATAATGTAAAATAAATATTGTAGTAAATTACATGATCACCAAGTAAATGATATAATCGGAATTTATTAAAATGTATCTCACCCTATACTCCTATATGATGTGTTAAATTTTGACTGAATTGGCAAAAACTATATATCTCACCCTATACTCGTATATGATGTGTTAAATTACATGTTGAGTCAAAATCTTATGACATGACCATAGAATTTCCATATATATATATATACCTAAGATTTATGGCCTCAATACAGATACCAGTGAAGATCGAAATTAAACCATAACTCAGAGACGCATTCTTTTGAATCAAATTCCTTATTATAATGAATAAAAAGATCAAAAACAGTATCTTTTTGGGTTAAAATCAGGGGATTCCAGAGAAGAAAGATTCGCAAACTTGAGAACCTGGGTTGTAGTAGCTTGATTCTGCAATAACAAAGAATGAATCTTTAAGGGTTCTAATGAAACTCACCAGAAAAAATAACATAATTCAACGTTTAGATGATAAATGTTCATACCTGGAACTAGAATTCATTCAAAGAGTGCTTTTTGAAGTTGACAATCGGAGTCGTACTCATCATCATAGCAGCAGAGATCATCTAAAGAGAAGGGAAAAAAAAAAAACAGAGTAAGAAGAATAAGGAATATTCAGCCTAATGAAACTCCGGCAAAATCAGTAATCTTGAGTTGTTAATTGAATATTCTTACGGTTATAATGTCTTAGACATGCATTCTCAAATCCTGGTGGCACAGCAGGAATCCTCTGATATCCTGCTGGGATCTTCGGGCCATACCCATATTCATCAGCATATTCTTCATCCCACTGATCATCAGAATCATAAAGAACAATCTTCGAACCATCATCATCATCTTCTTCTTCCAGGACATCATCGGGATAATGAAGTGCAAATATTTCTGGGAATCCCAATGTTAAGCACAGGGGACGATTCGCTGAAAGAATCATCTTCTTGGTTTTCTTCTTTCTTCTGTTCATCATCGGCATCTTTTCCCATTTTCTCCCAGGCATTATCCTTACAATGATCATCAATAATATCAGCGTATTGAATTTCTTCTTTGATCTTGGGTTCATTTCCGTCTTCAAAAACAAGAGGGTTTCCGCTGGATAAATCTTGTGGCGTTCCCATTGAGTCAGCGATTACTACTGCTTTCTAAATCTTCTTGGTTTTTTTTTTTTTTCTTCTTTCTGCGCAGCCCAATAAGAAAAACAAAAATAAAGATAGTTCAAAATGTTGAAAAGTGTCATGATCTTGAGGGTTTAGTTTGTATTACTTAATAATAGTAGGGTCATGTTGTAATTAGGAGATTAGAGTAATTGCTATTAATATTCTGTAATAGCCAAATCAGAATTATCAATGTTAATGAGACCTTCTTGGCTTTGTTCGTTAATCACCGTTCTCCTAATCCTCTGTTAATTCCTTCTCTTATTCTTCCCCTTGCTTCCTCTCCGGCTCTGAACTCTGATCCCGGCAAGCCGTTCTCTTTATTTCGGCGAGCACAAATCTTTCTTTTATTTCCAATTTCGGTCGATACCTGACAAGAAGCCAATAGGGTTTTGGGGGTTATTGGGTTAATGAAATTAGTAGTAATTGAGTAGCTCTCTAAAGGAAGAAGATTAAATACAGAGGAAAACAGAGTGAAGGGAGAAGGAAGTTACTGACTCGATGCAATGATCTTTTCATTGACTTTCCCAAATTGTACTCGGTAACTGGAATAAAACAACACGTAACACGGTTAATTGTATTAATAAAAATTTAAACATTTATCCATTTATTTTGTTCTTGATTATAAACTATTCCTAGGTTTTGTTTGGGTAGAAACTAGTTAATTGTGGCCTAAGATTGTTATTACTACAAGATTACATCAAATTTTGTTCAATTTAAGAACGTCTTAGATTAGAAGAACTATTGAATCTAGATTACCAACGAAGTATCATACATCGGATTTTCTTTTGAACATTTTGTCAATTTTAAAAATTGTTTGATTTGATTTTAGCTTAAGAAGAATCTAGTCATTGAAGCTCAAAATTTCCAATGGAGTTTGAGAATTTGGTAACTTAGGAAAGATACAGAACATTTGGTAATACTCCTTGTGTGCCAAAATTAGAATTTTTTTTGTTGATGAGACAGTGAAAATACATCATCTATCCTAGATGGAAATGCACTATCCTATTGAATGAAATGGTTATGTGCTAGCAACAAATCAGCTAGTACAATAAACTCTTCAAAACAAAGAACTTAAGACGTCAAAAACTTCATCAACAAATCAGCTAGCACTACTAAATGGTTATGAGCAAAAACAATTACTTTAGATATCACATCAGGGATCATTAATCTCTAAACCCTTAATGTCAGTTGAAAAGCATTAAAGTAAGTACCGTATATGTAATCCAAATCCATGAACAAACTATGGTTTTAACAGTTATAAATGCCCAAGTAGTAAAATGTCAACAATCTTTAAAGAACAGGCCTATTCATATCTACAGTGTAATATCTCCTTCACACTTAACACAGGCTTAGCATGACGATTGACGAGTGGGAGTAACATATTCTTATAAGTTATAATCATCCCTTTTAAGTAGAAATAGACCAGACCGATTCATTGTGAATTGCGATTATGCAGCATTGGAACGGACTAGAATTGCTCAGTAAGTTAACATATTGCTGAAAAATGGGCTCTATACCAAAGCAACAGAGTTAGAGAACTGACCTATGATGTTTTCATAAGGTTAAAAACACTTTCGTCGTGTAGAGTGAATGAAGATCTTCACATCATTTCCATTATGCATTTACAAAACTGATCAATCACTCAACAAAACAAGAGAATGATCTTAAGAATATTCTCATGAAATGAATCATTCTTGTATTAATTCGTCGAAATCTTTTCATTTGATGTTCAATTATGGAAAAAAAGAAAAAAAAAACAAAAAGAAAGCTCCACTCATCTCAAAAGGATCGAACTTGTTTGTGTGAAATATAAACGTGATTTTTTGTTTTTCTTCTTTCCTGAAAACATGTTTTTTTTTTTTTTTTGGGTACATTGAAAACATGTTAAATACTATTCGAGCGATACAATGATCTTCACAAACATTATGCTTCGACTGATTAAGTGAAATTCAAGGACATTCATTAACTCAAATAATCGACAAAAGTTAGGCTTGAATATGAATCCAGCCAACTCTGCATATAAGAGCTCACATAACTGAAAATTGAAAGGAAAAGGAGAGACCAAAAAGAAAAAAAAAAAAGAAAAAAAAGAGAGAAGATAACGAAAAGCATAGCGACAAACAATTTGACATGTAATGGAAACTCAAATAGGCTTATGATCTATACACAAAAAGATACGTACCTTTTTCGTGAAGGATTTCAAACTAAGTGATGGAACAGCAATTTGTATTTTTTATTTTTTTTGTGTGTTTTGATATACAAGGAGACAGGGGCGGAACCAGTGAGGGGCTCGGGGTCTCCAACCCCCCTGGCCGGAGAAGCTCAGGGATGCTTCCGGCCAAACCCCTTGATGGATCCGATCTTTAATCTCAGCCCCCCAAATTTCATCGAGAGGGGTTTGAGTAAGGGGAATAAATTCCAGCCGTTAAGGGATTTGGGGGTTGGTTTCTACATTTTAAATTGACGGCGGCGGGGAGCGAACGAAGAAGACAACCTGATTTTAGAACTTCTGTAACTCCAAAATTAGTTCTTTATTTGTAATTATATTGTAAAGAATGCCGACAATATTATAAGACTTTGATGTTAGGCCCTGAAAATATTAAGTAATTATAAAATTAACCGAATATATAGTTTATGTTACTTATGTTTTTCCTAAATTGAGTTCACCTAAATTTATTATATCCTACTATATTAGAAACAAAAACCTCCCTTTCAAACACCTCATATGATTGCCATGTGGCATGTAGAAAATACTAAATTGCCCTTTTGTCTAACCATAACTAAATTACTAAATCTCCCTTTGCACTTTACGTGACACGTTTTTTTTTAAAAAATTTTCTTTATGTTTCATTCAACTAGAGTGGTTTTTTAAATTGAATTGATCAATTAGGTTTTTTGTTACAAAGTGTCAATTTTGTTTTAAGCGTATACCCTTTGGATGAAGCTTATTACAAAGCTATTAAAAATCTCCAAAACTAAATATTGATTTGGCACGACCAATGGAGAACATCAATAAATCATCTTACTAATATTTAAATTTATTAGATGCTTTTATATTTTATCTAACATTTACTTCAACACATATATTCGATTAAGCTATTTATATTTAATAAGTAACACTTATAAAACATTTCTAAAACATACATGGCGAAGTACAATTTATTTTTTTTTTTGCGAAATACAAATATTTCTATGATCACACTTATAAAACATTTCTAAATCCTTCAAAAATTTCTAAAATATATCGCTCCAAATACAAAATTTTATTTGTTTTAAATATAAACATTTCTAAGATCTACAGATAGATTGGGCCAGGGTCGCGCATTGCGCGACCAGACATCACTAGTATAATTATAACGTAGTACTCCTTCCATGACAGAAAATTGTCAAGACGGAAGGATTGGTAATTATGAATTGAAAATTTTATTGCTTGTTCCGTAATGAGTCTTACAAATACTTTAATCAAGATTTCATATAGAGTTGAGTATGAATATTTTGTGCGATAATATGAAATTTATTTTAAGACATTATTAATAAAATTTACACCGAATATTTTTTTAATATTTTGATAAACCAAAAAAAAAAATAATCTTCCAAATGCCAGTCTAATGACAGTCTAGTCCCCCGATTATCAAAAGCTGGTTCCGCCACTACAAGGAGAAGCTGAGAAGAACTATCTTGAGAGAGAAGGATTTCAAACCGTGGACTATTATTTTTATTCTTTACATTTGGAGCAAAAGTAAACTATTCCTCGAACACTAAAAAAATATAAAAAATAAAAGCAAATGAAAATTATACGAATTTCTCATCATCATGACATAATATGCCTAAGGTGAAATACTTGTACATCATTTGTCCCATTCCCAAATACGATGCAAATCATCCGGTGTACCCGGGATCTTATTAGCTAGATAAAATCCATCTTCTTTTATTAACCAATAACATGTATTGATATGTTTTGTACTTGAACCGCAATAATGATTGGCCAGATTAGCATTAAATACAAAAACCTGTACATAATGTCCATTCCACCAAGTATCACACCAGAATTCCGTCGTACCCCAAAAATTGAACGTGAAACGGAAATGGAAATCGTTACCTTTGTAATACAAAACGTGCTCTCCTAAATTATCATCGTCGGAATAGCAATGAATTTTGACGGGAAGAGGACTATTCGGGATGCCATTATTGATATAAATCACATACTTCTCTAGCATACCAGATTGAACTTGGACGATTATTGCTTGAATAAGGCAGAATTGAGTGAGTAACGAGAAGAACGCTTTCATGGTTGCTTGCATGGTTTGATGATTTTTTTGCAATGAAAATATTGAAATGTATAAGATCTATTGTCGATATTTGGATATTTATAACGGGTTACTTTTTAATAAAAAGATGATGCATTACTTGTGAATCTTAAAAAGTCAAACATTTTAATTATTTCTCATTGAGGGAGTAACGAGTAATGAACGTCACAGATATTCTTATATAGAATATGCCATAAATGAAAACTGTTAGTCTAAAATCTGATTTATATAATCTGTTGGCTGAACTCCCAAAACAAACTTGCACTTTCAGTTCTAGGTACGTAATATTGGTTACTATTTTGGTTCAAATCTAGGCTTTTGTAATGACTTACGTGTCATTAGGATGTTCAAATTTAATAATCCATCGGTTCCCAAAAGACAAAACAAAAAAAAGAAACCCTTTATAGAATACTAGGTTTTTTTTATTGGGACGGAAGGATTATGTCACCAAAAGTCATTTTCAACACAGTACATTATTTCATTTTATGAAAATATTCAACAAAATAAGAAAATCAACCAATGATGTGAAGATCTTCATTCACTCTACACGACGAAAGTGGTTTTAACCTTATGAAACATCATAGGTCAGTTCTCTAACTCTGTTGCTTTGGTATAGAGCCCATTTTTCAGCAATATGTTAACTTACGGAGCTATTCTAGTCTGTTCCAATTTTGCATAACCGCATTTCACAATGAATCGGTCTGGTCTATTTCTACTTAAAGGGATGATTATAAGAATATGTTACTCCCACTCGTCAATCGTCATGCTAAGCCCGTGTCTTATAAATAGTATCGGAGTGAGTATTTGAAATTGTAAGTGTGAAGGAGATATTAAACTGTAGATATGAATAGGCCTGTTCTTTAAAGATTGTTGACATTTTAATACTTGGGCATTTATAACTATTAAATGCCATTATGATACTTTGTTGGTAATCCACATTCAAGATATGCAGTTCTTTTAATCCAAGATGTTCTTCAATAGAGCAAAATTTGATGTGATCTTGTAGTAATAACAATCTTAGGGCCACAATTAATTAGTTTCTACCCAAATAAAACCTAGGAATAGTTTGTAATCAAGAACAAAATAAAATGGATTAATGTGTGAATTTTTTTTTTAATATAATTATCCGTGTTACGTGTTGTTTTATTCCAATTAGTTACCGAGTACAAAATTGGGAAAGTCAATGAAAAGATCATTGCGCATGGACTCAGTAACTTCCTTCTCCCTTCACTCTGTTTTCCCTCATCTTCCTCCTCTGTATTTAATCTTCTTCCTTGAGAGAGCTACTCAATTACTACTGATTTCATTAACCTAAAAACCACAAAGACCCTATTGGTTTTTCAACATTTTGAACTATCTTGATTTTTGTTTTTCTTATTTGGGGCGAGCAGAAAGAAGAAAGAAAACCCAAGAAGATTTAGAAAGCAGTAGTGACAGCAGGCTCAATGGGAATGCCGCAAGATTCATCCAGCGGAAACCCTCCGGTGTTTGTGGACCGGAATCCCGCTGATGTTAATGATGATCTTGGTAAGGATTTACCCTGGAAGAAAATGGGGAAAGAGGATGATGAACAGCAGAAAGAAGAAAATCAAGAAGATTATTCTTTCAGCGAATCATCCCCTGTTCTTGATGATAATAATTCATTGGGATGCCCAGAACTATTTGCTCTTTATGATCCTGATGATGTCCTGGAAGAAGAAGAAGATGATGATGGTTCGAAGATTGTTCTTTATGATTCTGAGGATCAGTGGGATGAAGATTATGTAAGATCTATGTGTACTTTATACACTAATATATATAATTGTATGTTATAAGCTATCATAAAATACTAGCCCACATAAAGTGATCTAATTAAATCAACTAAAGTTTGGGCTGATTATAATAATTAAGTTATAAGGTGTGGCCCAGTATTGTGTAGAAACCCTAAGGCCCAGTTTCCTATTCTGTGATGGGTAGAACTGGAAACCCTATTATATATTGGTTATGGTCCCCGATGAGCCGTCATGCCAAAATCTCGACTCCCCATTTGTCAGAGGTTCCCGCAAGAGCTTGACGGAATCATCTGGAAGGCCAAACCGGATTGATGTTCTTGCCACTTCAAATTAAGGTACGCTTCCGCTTTCGTATAGTTCTCAATAATCTGATATGGAGGTCTCTTCAGTATTTGGATTTATTCCAACAGATTATGGTGATGAATACGGGTATGGCCCGAAGATCCCACCAGGATATCAAAGGATTCCTGCGCTGCCACCAGGATTTGAGAATGCGTATCTAAGACATTATAATCGTAAGAATACTCAAGATTATTGATTTTGGCGGAGTTCATTAGGCTGAATATTCCTTATTCTTCTAATCTTACTCTGCGTTTTTGCTTTTTTCTTCTTCTTAGATGATCTCTGCTGCTATGATGATGAGTACGACTCCGATTGCCAACTTCAAAAAGCACTCTTTGAATCAATTCTAGTTCTAGGTATGAACATTGGTCATCTAAACATTGAATTATGTTCTCTTCTGGTGAGTTCAATTAGAACCCTTAAAGATTCAATCTTTGGTTATCGCAGAATCAAGTTACTTCAACCCAGGTTCTCAAGTTCGCGAATCTTTCTCCTCTGGAATCCCCTGATTTTAACCCAAAAAGGTACTGTTTTTTTGATCTTTTTGTCCAGTACAATAAGGAATTTGTTTCAAAAGAATGCGTCTCTGAGTTATGGTTTAATTTCGATCTTCACAGGTATCGGTAATGAGGCCAGAAAGTTCAGGGAAATATATCGGAACGTGGGTTCGATCTTCTGAAAAAAAGCATACAGAAAATCTGTAAGATTTTGGGGTTTTGGGGTTCCTTCTGATGTTGGTAGATTGATACGTTTCTGGGTCCAAAGTTTGGATTTTGGATGATATATTACTACAATTCAGGATTCAAATGCATCCATGTACAGTCAAATTCTTTGATTTCTCGGCATTTTGTGGATGATTGTGTACTGTAAAGATAAGTTTTTTTTTTTTTTTTTTGGAAAAGGTAAATATATATATTACTATCACCAAAAGCACCATATTTACAACATATCCATCAGTCTGCGACTGGATTAGTTCCCTTAACTACAACTGATAATTACTCCATGTTATTACAAAATTTTCAACCCTTGCAAAAAGCTCATCTCCTTTCTTGTTTTCATCCTGTATGTGGTCTGAACCTTCCAGCTAATTTCTCTCCTTATCTCTTCACAAATCTCAGCTGCAGAACTGTGTTTGCCATCATGCATTAGCTGGTTTCTTGTCCTCCAGATTTTATAGTATCCAGCAGCAATAACTGCAAACAGCCCCCTCCTCCTTACTAAGGCACTGCTCCACACATAAGATAGTTTTTCCCACCATTTAACAGCTATCCATTGCTCTGGAAACTGGAACCAGGTTTTGATTTTCTGCTACACTTCTTTAGCAAAACTACAGCGCTCAAACAGGTGTTCGGGGGTTTCAACCTCCCTTTGGCAGAGAGTACATTGATCATTTTCCACTGCCACCCCCATATGTATGAGCCTCTCTTTAGTTAATACCCTCCGTTGCCAACATAACACAACACAATGTTTTGGAATATTGAATCGATTCCATAGCAATTCTGCTACTTTCTGTCTAGATTCTCTAACCCTGAGCCATTTTACTCCTGATGGTATAGTGTACTTACCATCTTTCTGACTTGACCATCTTCCCCGTTGGAAACCTCCCCTTAGCCTATCCCTCGTCATCATCAGTTTCTTCCAGTACCAGCTCGAGTCATTCACTGCCTCTACTTCCTATATTCCTTTTCTCTTCAAGTAGACTCCGTGGATCCATTGAATCCATAGGTTGTCTTTCTTCTGCGTCAGTTTCTACATGTGTCTTCCCACAGCTGCCATATTCCACAAAGCTAAATTCTTAATTCTCAGTCCTCCCTCAGTTTTCGGTAAGCAAACCCTCTTCCATGCAACCAGTGAGAATGACCTGCCACCCTCGTTCTTACCCCATAGGAACTCCCTACACAATTTTTCAATTTGCTGCAACACACTTTTTGGGATTAGGTAGACTAAAGCCCTATAAGTTTGCATATGCATCAGAACTGAATTGATCAGCTGAATCCTCCCCATATATGACAGGTGCGGGGACGCCCAAATTTTTAGTCTAATACTCATTTTTTCTATCAAGCTCTGGCAATCAGCTTGGGTCCATGCACATGGGGATATCGGAAACCCTAAATATTTCATCGAGAAGCGCCCTCTTTCAAAACCAGCAATGGCTTCTATTCTGACTCTGTCCTCCTCTGAGACACCCTCTACATAAATCTGTGATTTATTTAGGTTGGCGTAAAGCCCTGTAGTTCTACCAAACTCCTCCAATTTTCCCATAACAGTTTTAACAGTGTATACCTCCGCTTTACAGATTTTTAGGTCGTCTGCAAAGCACAGGTTCACAATCTTCAGTTCCGCACATTGAGGGTGGAATTGAATGCTGCCGCTTTTAATTTCCTCTTCAAACAGCCGAGTTAAGTACTCCATAACAATTACAAACAGTAGTGGTGACAACGGGTCTCCCTGCCTGATCTCCCGTTTACCACGGAAAAACCCAGCTACACCTCCATTTAAATTAAGAGAATACGAACACGTAGTCACACATTGTGTACTCCATTCTACGAACTTCCCTGGAAAACCAAACCCTACCAAAGCTTCCCCAATAAAATCCCAACTTATACTATCATAAGCTTTCCGTAAATCTACCTTCATTATACATCTAGGGGACACTGCCTTCCTTCTATACAACCTAACCAATTCTTGCGTAAGTAAAACATTATGCATAAATGACCTATCCCTTACAAATGCACCTTGGTTTAAATTTATAATATCAGGCAGGACTAAGCTTAATCTATTGCTCAAAAGTTTAGTAATACATTTATAAACTGTATCACAACATGTAATTGGCCTAAATTCACTAGCATCCTTAGGTGATATACCCTTGGGAATGAGTGAAATTAGGGTACAATTTACCTGAGGAAGAAGGATTCTTCTATCTGCAAACTCATGGATTGCTGCAATGACATCTTGGCCTACGATCTCCCAACTTGCACAAAAAAAGTCATTGCCGAACTCATCAGGTCCAGGGCTTTTACTAGGATGGATATCAAACATTGCTTTTTTTTTTAATTTCCACACTAGTAAAATCCCTAGAAAGCCTGATTTGCTGTTCCAGTGATATCCTTGGGCCTTGTTCAAACACTATTTGCCATGTATTCTGCCTTTCAACTTCGACTCCCAGTAGATTCTGGCAGTACTGAATGAAGTGACTTTCCACCCTTTGCCATTTGTCCACTACTTCTCCATCTTCTATCACATATGATAATATTCCATTTGTGGTCTTCATCTCCTTCATTCTGGCATGAAAATACCCCGTATTATCATCTCCATGTTACCACATCTCTTTCATTTTCTGCTCCCTAAAGCTGAGCACTGCTTTTTCATATCTTATGTACAGATCCCTGAGGTTTCTTTCCTCCTCCTGCAACCCCACATGAATTGGGTTATCATGTACCTCATGTTGTTTTCTTTCCAGTTGAGCTTGTGCCTGTTGGTATCGATTCTCCACATCACTATACTTTCTTTTGTATAAAGCTTTCGGAGGCTCTTTAAGAAGTTTTAGTTTTCTCATCAGTTGGAATTGCTTGGTTCCATTAATTTTTGAGCTCCATATTTGGTGTACAATTGCCTTAAATTTCTCATCCTCAGCCCACATATTGAAGAATTTGAAGGGTCGTCTACCAGAGTTACCCTTCTGATCCCACTTAAACAATAATGGGCAATGATCAGAGATGTTTTCCTTCAAGAAGTTCACCACTGTGTCTTCAAACTCCATAATCCATTCCTCTGAACCCAGCACTCTATTCAGCTTGCAACAAACTCTATTTGGTCCTATCTGTTTATTTGACCATGTAAACTCTGCTCCCTGTGTTCTAATTTCATATAGCTGACATGCTTCAATCATCACACGAAACTCTTCCATTTCCTGTCTTTTAAAAGGAATTCCCCCTAGTTTCTCCTCCTCCTTCAATATACAATTGAAATCACCATCTATTACCCATGGTTTACCATGACTCTGCAACTGCATAAGATCGAGCCATAAAGATGATCTTACTCCTTGACTGTTCTTGGCATACACAATGGTCATCTGGAATTCCCGTCTGCCTATTTTGTCCACAACCCAACAGTGAATGAATTGTTCCCAACATTCCTTTACAGTTATCTCACAATCTCCTTTCCTCCATAGTATTGTTATCCTGCCCTTCTGATTTTGTTTGGCATTTTCCACATAGTCATACTCTTTCCACCACCTGGACATCATCTCTTTACATCTTTCTGTACTTAATTTTGTTTCAACTATTCCCATTATCCCTATTTTATGACTCCTAACAATATTCCCTAGGTGTTTTAGAGGGTGATTAAACCCTCTAATATTCCATACAAGGATACTTATTATATGTTGGGATCATTTAGTAGTCATATACATTTCCTGTAATTGGCATTGGGAATTCTTGGAATTTCATTGTTTTAGAGCTGTCCAAACTCCAAACATTTTGCAAGTTACTGTTGACTTCTTTAAGTTAATCCTAGACCTAGAACGGACTAGTTAATAATTTTGGTTGATATGATTAATGGTAATTAGATGCTTGGCCCGTGCAGATGTCCGGACGAGATCCTCCCTAATGTTCTTATAATATTGGTTGAAAAAATAGTTTTTTTTTATTATATAAAATATATATATATATGTCTATATTGTTTTATATGTAGTTAATACATTTTTAATTAAATAAGTGCAATACACTATGAATATATAGGTACTGATTACAGATTTATTTGCAAAAATCAAAGGGAATATTTTGTATGTGGACAATTTAAACATTGAAAAATATGTTCATATATTAATTTTTTGACTAAACCACAGAAAACATCCTATACATTTGGGCAAAAAATTATTTTCGTCCCGTACATATTAAAACGCCCATTTTCATCCTATTTCGTACAAAAAATGCAAATTTTCGACTATTTTCGTCCCAAGTCAATTTTCCGTCCAATTGACTGTCAACATGCAGGGGTGTTTTCGTCTTATAGCTCGGTTTTTGTTTTTCATTGATTAAGAAATAAAATAATAATTAATTAATAATAAAATTAATTAAAAATATTGTAAATTCAAAAAATATAATAAAATAACAAATTTTGGTTATTTTTATTCATTGGGGCCTCTATAATTTAAATCTGTAATTTTTTTCTGCAGTAAACCATAATGTAGAAATTTTCAATTTAAGGAGGCGTTTGTTTTGTCACTTGGAAACGGATTCAGGAAACGGATTTGAATGATGACGGATTAGATTCGAATGACCCTGGATTCATAAATCCAATAGTGTTGTTTGGTTTGATAGTTGGAATGTTTTAATTATGGATTGTTAATTAATTTAATTTTTTTATTTTAAAAATAAATTAATTTCATTAAAAAAATACTCCCTCCGTCCCATAATTATTGTCCAGTTTTACTAAAATGAAAGATTTTATCTTTGGTCAAACTTAACTATATTTTACCTTAAACAACCGGATATACCCCTACATAAGT